CCGTTTGCGTCGTAAAGGCACAACATTTAAGGCAGCCGCAGTAGCAGTGGTGTGTCTTTGTCATCATCAAGTCCTGATCTGAATCCGATCGAAAATGTATGGTCAGTTGTGAAGATGAAAAATGGCAAACAATATAACAGCAAAGCAGACCTATGGAAAGCAATTAAAACTACCAGGTCGGAAATTTAACCTGCTAAAGAAAAAAAAATTAACAGAATCAATGGATAATAGATAAATGGTTGTTATTAAGAAGTGTCACTATATTAAAATGTAAAGGACTCAAAGACTTATCATATGTGTTTGTTATTTTATTAGAGGTGTTGATTTTATCTTTTTATTGAAGTAAAATGTGATCATTTGGATTTAAATAACTTTAGAAGAATTTTTTTAGAATACATCAAATAATTTCAATAAATTAAATATTAATTTCATAGTACCTAAAATTTTAACTCAGGTTGAATTGATTGTTTGATTGACGTTTTTTCAAACCAAATTTGAATCATCGAAGTTTTTATGATTTGTTTAATAACTTCAGACATTGTGTAAATACATAATCGCATTGAAATTTAAAAGCAAACAAAAGAGAAACGCCATCAAGTGACGATCTGATGTCAGTATTAACAGTACATGAGACGTTTGTATACTCAATGGCTGGAGAGGAAGCCCCAAATTTACCTATGAGATATAACGAAAAAGCTGAAACATTACTGGTCTTTCTGCGGCATCTGAAGAGTTTTGACAGAAATACGTAATATCTGGTTTCCTGGTTTTTCAGAAAAATAAGGGGATTTCTTTCAGTTTCTTTCTCCCCCCTCTCTCTCTCTCTCTCTCTCTCTCTCACACACACGCACACACAAACACACACATTCCCTCACTCACTCTGTGGTTGTGTGTGTTTGTGTGTTTTCATATATGCGTAGCATATTTGTTTTGGGCAGCTATTCACTGAGCCTAATTTGTTCCTGTTAGAATATGAACATTACATACCTTGTAAATGTGTCATCTTAGCAGACTAGTTGCATTTAAATATGCAAAAGAGACTAGGTACAAATAGAGGTATTTACATTTCGCTGATACATATGAAAAAGTGTATGCATACATAAATTTGTACATACATACATGCACATATTTATATATATATATATATATATATACATACATTTTTATTTATGTTTAACGTTGTTATTTTATAGATACAAGTATTTAAGCAAATGCTCTGTTTATGATAAACAGTATTAAATAACATTTACCGGCCTGAATGTCCGAGAAATTTTCATAGAAAATATTCGTTCATAGACAGGATTCGAACCTGCATCCTATACGGAACCGTCATATACGCTGACGTGCCTTAACCACTCGGCCACCATGAACCTTATGGTAGACAAGGTCGAATTTACTTTATAAACAGTAATCTTCCATGAATCTCGTACATTCATAACTGCTCTGGCGTATCGAATGTAAACAAATGACGTCATATGTTAAGAAATGGACGAGGTCCGACAATTTATTTATTAAAGACATTTTTATTTATGTTTATTTATTTTATAGATTCAGGTTTTAAGTTATGATAAACAGTTTATAACATTTGCAGTCCGTTTTATAGAAAATATTCTTGTTCGTATCCTACATGGAACCGTTGTATAACAACGTGAAACTTAAATAAAATTTACTATGAAATTGTCGGAATTTTCGTATCGAATGAAAATATGACGTCATTTGTTTCCGAACATTCGATACGGTATTTAAGCAAATGCCCCGTTTATGATAAAACATATACGCCTGACGTTTTCAAGGTAGAAATATTTCATACCATGAACCTTATGGTAGACAAGGTCGAATTTACTGTTATAAACATTCATTCACTGCTCTGGTATCGAATGTAAACAAATGACGTCAATGTTAAGAAATGGACGAGGTCCGACAATTTATTTAAAAGACATTTTTATTTATGTTTAACGTTGTTATTTTATAGATAAAGTATTTAAGCAAATGCTCTGTTTGATAAACAGTATTAAATAACATTTACTGGCCTGAATGTCCGAGAAATTTCATAGAAAATATTCGTTCATAGACAGGATTCGAACCGCATCCTATACGGAACTGTCATATACGCTGACGTGCTATCGCGAAATATGGTGGCCGAGTGGTTAAGGCACGTCAGCGTATATGACGGTTCCGTATAGGATGCAGGTTCGAATCTCTGTCTATGAACGAATATTTTCTATGAAAATTTCTCGGACATTCAGGCCGGTAAATGTTATTTAATACTGTTTATCATAAACAGAGCATTTGCTTAAATACTTGTATCTATAAAATAAACAACGTTAAACATAAATAAAATGTCTTTAATAAATAAATTGTCGGACCTTTTCTTAACATATGACGTCATTTGTTTACATTCGATACGCCAGAGCAGTTTATGAATGTACGAGATTCATAAGATTGTAGTTTATAACAGTAAATTGACCTTTGTCACCATAAAGGTTCATGGTGGCCAGTGGTTAAGGCACGTCAGCGTATATGACGGTTCCGTATAGGATGCAGGTTCGAATCCTGTCTATGAACGAATATTTTCTATGAAAATTTCGGACATTCAGGCCGGTAAATGTTATTTAATACTGTTTATCATAAACAGAGCATTTGCTTAAATACTTGTATCTATAAAATAACAACGTTAAACATAAATAAAAATGTCTTTAATAAATAAATTGTCGGACCTCGTCCATTTCTTAACATATGACGTCATTTGTTTACATTCGATAAGAAGTTATGAATGTACGAGATTCATCCGAAGATTGTAGTTTATAACAGTAAATTTATTTAATACTGACCTTGTTAAAATAACAACGGTTAAGGTTCCATGGTGGCCGAGTGGTTAAGGCACGTCATATACGGTTCCGTATAGGATGCAGGTTCGAATCCTGTCTATGAACGAATATTTTCTATGAAAATTTCTCGACATTCAGGCCGGTAAATGTTATTTAATACTGTTTATCATAAACAGAGCATTTGCTTAAATACTTGTATCTATAAAATAACAACGTTAAACATAAATAAAAAATGTCTTTAATAAATAAATTGTCGGACCTCGTCCATTTCTTAACATATGACGTCATTTGTTTACATTCGATACGCCAGAGCAGTTATGAATGTACGAGATTCATGGAAGATTGTAGTTTATAACAGTAAATTCGACCTTGTCTACCATAAGGTTCATGGTGGCCGAGTGGTTAAGGCACGTCAGCGTATATGACGGTTCCGTATAGGATGCAGGTTCGAATCCTGTCTATGAACGAATATTTTCTATGAAAATTTCTCGGACATTCAGGCCGGTAAATGTTATTTAATACTGTTTATCATAAACAGAGCATTTGCTTAAATACTTGTATCTATAAAATAACAACGTTAAACATAAATAAAAATGTCTTTAATAAATAAATTGTCGGACCTCGTCCATTTCTTAACATATACATACATATATATATATATATATATATATATATGTATATATACTGACACACACACACACACATATATATATGTATGCATTTATGTATGTCTAAAGGTAAAAGACAATAGGAAAACGGAATTATTAGCCGACGCGTTTTTAGAAACGTTATTGTATTCATATTGTCAACTAAATACAATAGCGTTTTCAAAATTTTTCTCGTTGTTGTTTGTTGTTAATATTTACTTTGTTTTTAATAAATTCATTTCGTTTTGCCTTGTAAAAGTCCACATTTTCTCCAGGTTAACTCTGAGAATTTTTTCATAAATACATAAATAAAAATATATATATTTATATATATATATATATTATAAATTAAATGATTTAAAAATATACATATATATTAAAACTGATTTTTATATATATATATATATATATATATATATATATATATATATGTTATAAATTAACTGATTTAAAAATATGGTTCAATTGCTACACAAGAATTACCATGTTTCAAAAACAGAACTTAAAACTTGTAAGTTTATAAAACTCAGTAAATTGCAAAATAGGTTATTCCAAAATTCCAGTAAATTTCAAAATAAGTTATTCCAAAATTCGCTTGAAAATGAAACAGAACTAGGACCTATAATATAATTATATAATTGAATTTGAAGTTTTCAGTTTCTGTTTTTGAAATATGGTAATTCATGTGCAGCGATGGAACCATATTTTTAAATCAGTTGATTTGTAAAATTTATTCTCTGTAAATTTACTTTGAGCGTTGTTTCATAAAAATAAAAAATATTAATAAGAACACCGGATTATATATCTTACTGTTCTTTCTTTTATTATAATATATATATATATATATATATATATATATATATATATATATATATATATATAATCGACTCTCCTGTCGAGATTCGACGTATGAGGGTGAAGCAGATCAGTTTTCAGGAAACCGACAGCTCGACACCGGCACATGAGATTTGATTATAATGGTGAATGGTTTGCCAAAACAAATGAAAAAGAAATGATTAGACCCTTTGTATGTATGTATCCATTCATCTGTATATATATATATATATATATATATATATATATATATATATATATATATATATATATATATATATATATACAGATATATATATATATATATATATATATATATATGCATATATATATATATATATATATATATATATATATATATGTGTGTGTGTGTGTGTGTGTGTGTGTGTGTGTGTGTGTGTGTGTGTGTGTGTGTGTATAGATGCATAGATACATACATACATGGGTCTAATCATTTCCTTTTCATTTGTTGTGGCAAACATATCGGAATCCACAGTGATCTCAGCGACGAAAATCATAATTCTACAGAATTCGACAGGCTGAAATGGATACATCAAGAGGAAGAAGGAAAGGCGATGAAATCTTTGGAATCCT